GAAGAAGGTCAGGGGCCCGGAGCGTCCAAGATTTACCAATGGATTTGTTCATCGCTTTGCTGTGCTTTGCTATGGTTCAGCTGAAGCCTGGTAGTGGAGGTGAGCTGAGGTGAGCCTGTGGGTGCGGCTTTCACGGCTGGCGGCAAGATGATCGTCGCTGGAACATTTGGTGGCGTTGGCAAGCTTCTGTTGATCACGGAGTCTGGAGTGGAGTCAGAATACTCTTTAGGCACTGAGTGCACTCATCAACGCTGTCAGCCGTGTTGCACCAGCATTTAGAAACGCTTTGATGAAAGAAGCCTTGCAGGCAACGTGACGGTACATGACATGGATGCTGCAAGCAACGAGAGCACTCTCGTCATCAGCGGCACCTTTGGAGTCCCAGCCTCAGCCGCCGCTTCAAGACGAGTGCAATTCAGTCGACTCCTGCAGTGCTCAAACACCCAGGTAAAGTGCTTCGATGTGGCCTCCAATGTCACAGAGCTGTGGAGCTGGACTTCACAGGGTGTGCAGGGCGAGGTACGGGTGTCCAGGCTCATTTGGTGCATTGAAAGGTAACTTGCCATCCTGATGTTTGTGTGCACTGGCCTTGGCAGTTTGTGCCTGTGCTGTTACCGATAGAGCGCATTGCTGATCCTGTCAGCCAGAGCCAGCGTGTAGCTGTAATAATGAACTTTGTCGTCGCCAAAAGCCGCATAGGGCTTATGTTGTTGAGCAGGGTTGGGGAGCAGTGCGAGTCCGAGGCCGTGTTTTGATCCTGCATTTCTTCCGTTCCGAGGTCAGTACAGCGGCTGGGAAAACAGCGATCCTCTACCAGAAGACTGTTGCAGTCTTGAATTCCGAAGGACCTGCTTGAAGCGAATTGCATGAGCAATGCCAAGACTATGGCAGGGATGGAGGCCCATTCAGAGGTTCAGGCAACTTGCAGCTGGCAGGATCCCTGGTGTCGAATGACACGATTCCTCGCGACTACCCCAAAGATGTGGCAATGTCACCAGATGGAAGCCAGGCAAGGAAGTGTTTCTTACTGCCTTACGTTTTCTTGCTGCTCATTTCCAAACCAGCGCAGTGAAACCTACTCATTCCACGCGTTTGTGCAATTTTTCTACGTAAAAGCACGATGCAAGCGCAAGCTCGGGTTCAAGCACTGCGATTCCAGTAGCGGTCGATTCCCGCACGGAGCTCAGCACGGCACACGGTCGATTGAAGCAACGGAAAGGCAGGATCGAACCACTGCTCGATTCGTGCACGAGCGATTCGAGCGTCCAAATGCCCCGGTTGAAGCACTTGCGCAGCTGGATTCCAGCACGGGCGAAGCACGAGGTTTAGTATCGTTCATACTGCTAGGTTGGCCCAACCTCAGCATTGCTTCAGGGTGAAAGATTGTGGAGGGTCTACGGTTTTGGGTTCTTTAGCGTCAAGGATTCTTCCGGGTTTAGGATTTCGGGGTTCTTTGGTTTAGGGTTTGGTGCCCTTTCGGTTTAGGGTTGAAGGTTCTTTAGGGTTTGGCGTTCTTTGGCGATTACAGTGTTGTAGCGTTCAGAGTTTGGGGTTATGGAGGGTTTTGTGTCCTTTGGGCTTCAGGATTTTGGGGTCCTTTAGGTTTTCAGGGTTTAGTGTTCTTTGGGGTGGGGGTTTATTGAGAGATTCGGGTTGATGTTCCGGCAGGGTTTAGTCTGAAGCTGTTTGGGGATTACGGCGCTTGGACTGGGATCTTTTAGGTTTTACTCGTACGGTTCGGGGCTCTTTTGGGGTCAGGCTCCAGGACCCTGGGTCGGCGGGTTTAGGTTTAGGATTTGGGGTTCTGGAGGGAGTACAGCGTTTTATGGTGTATGGTTTGGGGTTGTTAGTTTAGGGTTTCAGGTTTTTCTGGGGTACACTCCTTGGGGTCCGTTTAGGCTTTACTCCTTGGGGTCTTTAGGTTACTTGTTTGGGCTTCTTTACTGTTTGGAGTTCTTCAGGGTTTAAGGTTTGGGGTCCTGTAGGTTTTAGGGTTCGGGCTTCGTGAGGGTTTGTGGTTCTTCAGGCATTAGGGCATTCGGGTTAGTTTAGTTGTTGGGATTGTAGGGATTAGACTTAGATACGGTTTGGGGTTGTGAGTCTAGGGTTCTTTTGGGATCAGGGTTACGGTCCTTCAGGGTTCAGTCCTTGGGATTCTGTAGGGTTTGGGGTTTTGAGATTCTTGTGGGGTTACGGTGGTTTAGTGTTTAGGGCTTGGGGTTGTTACTAAAGGGCTCTAGGTTGCTTAGGGTTAACGGCTCTTTCGCTTTCAGGGTTTGGGTTCTTTAGGGATTAGAGTTGGAGATTTTTAGGGCTAATCTGCGGGGCAGTGCATGAATCCGCTGGGCGACCCCGAATCCGCACTCCCCGAATCTGCCGGGCCAGTGTGCGAATCCGCCATGCACGAAACCACTGTGCGCGAATCCTGATGCATTTCTGGTGCTTGAATCCATTTTTGTTTTTCGCTCGAATCGTTTTTTCTGTGCGCGCTAAATCGATCTTCCAGGGTTCTGCTGTCATTGGTCGCGATGCAGATCTGTCGGGGCATGTTCGCTTGATTGGCTGCATGGCAGGTCTATGTAGTTGGCTTCCGCAACGGCCGGAACGATGATGATGGGAGTGGCAGGAGCAATCCTGCGCGAGACACAGATGATAACAGGTAGTTTGAATCTCAGACGTGGTAAAAGAAAACAGACTGGAAAGATTCTGAGGTGCAGGTGGCTTTTGTCTACGCAATGAACGCTGCTAATCTTACCTCGCCATGGCTTTGGAAAACCTTCGACTTTGATCCAAACCTGGTTGATTGGGACATGGCTGACACCCGCCTGTACCGCGTGGCCTTTGGGCAAAACGGACAGTTGTACATCCTCGGGGAGACAGCTGGTGGCAACACAATTTTCCGCTGGGATGGAAAGCACTGCCAAAGTAAGGAAGACAAGCCAGAAGCTGGTGCAACCACTAACGTGAGCTTGCTTGAGTCGGAGTACCGACGCTTGAAGTACACGGACATTTTCGACCACGGGTTCAACGCTGGTTCTGCCCACATGGCATACTTCGCCCGCATTGACCCCAAAGACGGTGTCGTGAAAGAGGGCAAGTTGATAATTCCGCGCTTGATCTCAAACATGAAGAGCAACACTTTTCGTGTCAAGGAGGCAAGGCCCCCCCGCCTTGAGAGCATAGCGCCGATGAGTTGGTAGAATGTCCTGAACCGCAAGTGTCCCAGAGTGGCTATGCAGGGGTCCATCACCGCTGACGCCTTTGGGCGCGTCTATGTGGGCGGTGTGTCGTCCTGCTGCATAGAGGCACGTGACTTGAATTTCATCAATCGCAAGCCAGCCTGAGCCTCAAGATGTGATTAGTACAGTATTGTACAGGATATGTGAGACTGTCAGACTCTCTGCACCCAGGTCGGCAGCTATGCTGGTGGTGACATGGCACTTGTTGTGTTGAGCCCGGATCTTCAATCTCGCTTGCGCTGGACACCCTTCAGCAAGGCAGGTTTCTTTTTTTTCGAGTCATCTGCAACGCAACGAGAGCCAGGAGAAGGGCAAGGGCTCCGTGCGTGCCGTGGCCGTGCGCACAGCAGGTGACTCTGAGGAGGCTGACTCCCTGAAATCCAAACCCTGCAGCATTTGTGGACGTGGTATTTGGAAAGTCAGCAGGCTCTGCTTCTGGGATCGGTCAACCATGGCGAGATGCACACTACCGACAATGCCTTTAAGTCAAGTGCTTGCCTTACTTTGCCTGCATCATGGTGCTTGAGTGGCATGGACATGCCCTGGCCCAGGCCGCAACATGAGCAACACCACCGAGCACGCTTACTTGGTTCGCTGGCAGGAAGAAGCACTTGATGCCTAGATCCTGTTTCATTTCAAGTCCCAGAGGGCCATCGGCGGAGTGAGAGCAACAAAGGCTTAGTTTCGCTGGTGAGACCTTCAGCCTAGGTTGTCTTGTCTTCAGAGTTGTGTGTGATACTCTGCTTATCCATAGATTCCTGAACCTAACACCTCAGTTGCAACTGTCATCATACGCAGGTTTCTGTAGACATACAGCACATTTGAATTCAAGAATTAGGAAGCCTAGTCTCCACTTACAGTCTTTCGTGGGGACGTGGCACCAGTGCCAGATGTGGGTGTTAAACCCCATTCCGGCAGATGTAGAGCGCCTGCTTGGAGCTGCTAGGGTTTCTGAACCGACCCAGCAAGGCGGCTTAGTTCTGTCGAGTCTCGGCCGGAGAACTTGTCGGCCCGACAATTTTGAGATGTTGCCAGCTCGGCCTGCAGACGGCGCTCAACTTCAGCTTTGTTAAATGTTGCTGAGGGCGTGGCCTGCAAGGAGCAGCGCGGCAGTGGCAGGCACTTGAGAAGCCACGCAAGCATCCAATGCCTGCCAGCTTGCTGAAAACCTGATGCGCGCTTTGGCACTTGAAAAAAGCTGAAAGCGCAGTGCTTGTGTGTTACCTACAGTACGGGCTTGCAACTTAGAGACTGGGCTTGATTGCCCCGAATCGAACATCTGTTGTCCAGTCAGACCCACTGAGCTTCGCTGAACCCCAAAAAACCTTCTATTTTTTTGTCCGGGTATCTGCCAGCCTGGAAGTTGCATCGGGTCCTGCATCTGCAAAAGCCTGCAGTCTTCTCAGCCCAACCCATTACTGTAGGACCTACCTATTCCATTGGCATGATTTTCATGAAAGTGGAGGAGATTGGTGGTTAATGTGCAAGCTCACCATCCCAGGTTTGCAGTTCCATCAGAAGCACTAGAGAAACCTGTCATGCTGCAATCGGAGAAACTGTGTCTGAGAGCTGTTGTAAGGTCAGTTGCAACTCTTGCCAGGGTTCTGCATCTACTATGTGCGTGGGGCTGAAGATAATTGTGAAGGGGTTTGCCTTTGGAGAAGAAGGACCGGAATTTCGCCAGCTTAGTGTTTGTGGGTCACGCTAGAAACGAATTGTTGATAACAACGGAAATAGAGGATCAGCTCACGCTAAGACGAGGCCTCGCGGAAACCAATGCCAGGGCGGCGCCGCTCTGCAGAGGCCAGGCAAGGGATAACAAGAAGAGGGCTAAAGCAGTGATTGCCATAGTCATCTCATGCCAAACTTTCTGCAAGTTCGTGCAAGAGGCTGAGGAATTGCTGGCCGGCTTTGATCATGTAACGCGTGCCCATGGCTGGAAGGACTGCATTTTGTAGGCTACTTGGTTACGCGCCAATACGGTTACCTATGCGCCAAAGGCGATCCACGCTCGCAAAGAAGGGCGGTGATTGTTAATGCACTTGCAGGCTGCATGTTTGTGCAGCTTTCGCAAGACCAGTTTACGCTTCATGGAGGTTGTACATTGTACATAGTCTGTCAGATGCTCCTGCCCTTTGATGGCTGAGCTGTTTGGAAGCCTCCGGCTTGGTTTCATGTAAAAGATATCGGAAAACAGGTCATAGCCAAAGCATGCATGAGGCTTGCTCATGATTTGTGCCATTAAACAGGAGATATCGGAGATATCGCACGGGTCATCTGCGTCTAGCCTTATCCCGTGTCTTGCCTATGCATGATACATGGTGCCGTTTGGCTCGACGGATGAACACGAGCCCTCTTGAAGCAGGGCCATACCTGTCCGGATCTCGTTTCGCACTTGTCCAGTGTGTTGTTGTTCCCTCCCCAGTTCCTGCCCGGACTGTATCGGAAGTGCCCAGGTCTGGCAAGGCGCTGGACTTTGCAGAGCTGTACGATGTAGTATCATGATCTGTAAAACGTATGCACTGCAGCTTGGACGGCAGCATCGCGCTTTGAGGGCTTGCTCGCTCTCGCAGTTGTTTATCCTGGCTCTGATTTCCTTCCCAGCGTTTGTAGCTTCTTGCCGGACCTGACGCTCCTTGGTTGCAAGCTCCATTTGCTGGGGACACTGGTCTTGGGCAGAATATGGCAGCGCATTCTTGCAGCTACACCTTTTCGGACAGCGAGGACATGTTCTGGGGCTGCATTGTGGCTCCAGGCGAGACCAAGAAGGCACTTGCACGGGCTTTCTTCAACTGTCAGGTCTTCATTAGCTTAAGATATCAAACATTTTGCGTGTGTATTACGGATTTGTGCAGGCAGGTTAAGTAGATTTGCACTCTTTCTGCACAGGTGGAGACAAAGGCAGGTGAGCTCCTTCACTTGTCCCAGGCGCAAACTGCTGCTCGAGGAAGTGATGTTTTCCGGTTCCTCCAGCCTTTCTTGTTTCTAGTTCGTGTTCTCAATTTGTTGAAGAGTGCAGTGCTAGAGACGACCAGACGTGCCAGTAGGCGATTTTGAAGAGCACGTGGCTAGTTCAAGCTTCGTTTGGCCGCAGAAGCCTCTTAGGCATGCTTGGCGCCAGACACTCCAAGTGGAGCATCTTCCAAAGTGCTTGTAGAGCAGAGTGGCCCGACACCAAGTGCGCAGGGAAGAGAGACAGAGACTTGTGCTGCATCTTGAAGCCTTGCTTGCGCCTGTGCCGCAAAGTCAAGAACAAAGCTCTGAAGTCCCTCCTGCACTGAAGCAAGTTGGACAGCCTCACGCCGTACATGCAAGCCCCTTGGTCAGATCCTGGCTGTCTTCTCTGACTGTATGAACTCGCGTTGACTTGGCAAAACTGCTTGGAACGGAGCGCAAAGATCTTGCGCCTCTGGGAGGGCCAGTGATGGCAAGCATCCTGGCTTCCTATCAAGAGGTTCAGAGATCAGATCCAAGATGTTGGACTCACCCACTTGTCCTGCTACCTGCCGTGTCACTGTTTTGCATTGCCTGTGGCAGCATCATTCAAGTAGCAGGTTGCGGCGCCCTTTGCACGTCTTGTGGCGTCATCCTGCACTTGGTGGCATGTGGCGTTTTGGCGCTTCTCAGTGTGACCTGGCTCCTTGGGTACACTCCCAAGAAATCAGAGGTGCCCTGCCCCGAGGAAGCGGCACCGTACTATGCAGACGTCCTCTGCCTGAGTGCCGGAGGGGAAATCCTGATGTCGCATGCTCCGGGACGTCGCACGCGGCAGAGTCATCGCAGCCTAAGTTCAGATGTGTCGCGTGTGAAACATCACTATGATGTGGATGTTGTGGTAACGCTGCTCTCTTTAACTGAGCTTGAGTCCATGAGTTGTGAGAGTATGGGTGCCTGTGTTGAGGCTGAGGGAATGGTTTGGATGTATTTGAATCTGCGCGACAAATGGGTCCCGTGGAACTCGCAGGCTTATTTGTCAGAGCTGGTGCTTCCTTTGACTGGTTATCTACGCTCTGGGAGCCGGGTGCTGATCCACTGCAATGGTGGGAAAGGGAGGACAGGCATGCTGGTGGCTGCATTGCTGATGACCTCCGCTGGCGGCCGGCAAACTTTGCGTGGTGCTATCTCTTCGATGCGTCGGGTGCGCGCAGGGATGCTCCGCAACCCTCTGCAGCAGCTTTTCCTTCTCCTGCACCTGTACAGCAGCTTGCGAAAGCTGTAGGTATGCAACGCAGAATCCTGAACATGCCTGAGCGCAAATATTGCCCAAGCACTGTCGGAGCCGAGCTGATAGATCTGGGCATGGTCACGCAGATCCGCCCAAGCTGTTCCACGGAAGTGGCTACAAAGGAGGAGTAGCGCGGTGGACATTGACACTTGCACATCGAACCCATGCTTGAACTGGCCACCAGGATGATAGCTCAAGACATGTGCGTAGCTCCCGCGGGCTGCATGATGAACAGGAAAAGCAGTTCTGTCGCACCGTTTGCCAAGCCGTTAGGAAGGGAATTAGTGACAGTCATTGCGTTGAGGTCAGACATATGCGGTAGCCTGCCTCAAGGAGGGCGGGCAGGCCATGCCTTTGGTGCTTGCAGCACACTTGTCCGGCTTTGGGTGGTCTTTTTTTCTGTGGCCAGGAGTTCTGCGCCCTGGACCTGTTCCTTGATGCCAAGGAGGCGAAGATCGCAGTCAAGGGCAAGGCCTGGCTTTGTCGCTGGCTGCCGTGCTCTTGCATCTCGCGGCATGAGCCCGTGCAGCCTGCATGATCGCATTAACAACGGCATCCTATAAGACCTGCCATTGTCTCCAAAGCAAGTTTTTTTTTGGCAGCTGTCTCGGCAGGCTACTGTGCACCTCACAGGCTACTTTGAGGCAGATGAGTTCGATGATGAGGCTCCAATAGCTGTCGGAGTTCACACCTCGAATTTTCTACCGCGCGGTTTGCAGGACGAGCTCCCTCCTGCGGCAACGCCGGCAGTTGCACGGCTCCTATGTTGCCGGAAGCAGTCCAATGCAACAGGGTATGGAGAGTTGATCGAGATACTTTCAATGTGTCCCTGCCCAGGGCTCACCAAAGGCAAAAGCAGAGCCCAAGTCCTCTCCTAAGGCCTTTGGGTCGACAAGCTCTATGCTACTATGCGTTGGCTGTTTCGAGCGAGAGAGTCACCGTGCCTCCACGTGTCAGGCCGCCCCGAAGGCGTCCCCGAAGGCGTCCCCAAAGGCGTCGCCTAAGGAGGCTGCAAAAGCTAAGGCCGCTCCCATGGATGACGAGGTGCAGGGTCGGATAGTGCAGCGCACGTCTTTGTGGTCTTGCTAAATCCAATATGGAGGGGCAAATGGACATGGCAAACGAATCTAAGTCTTCCGGTCGATCCACCCCGGATCAGGATGATTTGCTGGAAGATGAAGAAGGCGAAGAGGAGGAACCTAAGGAATCAGACCAGGAGCGCGGCAGCCCCAAACACTTCGACTGAAAGCTATCCTGCATGTTTTGGTGTCGCAGGTAGTGAAGCCTTCGCCCAAGCCGAAGGCATCCCCCAAAATGGAGCCGAAGAAGGCTTCGCCCAAGGCAGAGCCAAAAAAGGCCGGACAACAGCAGCCCTTCATCTCTCTGATTTGTGCCATGCACCTTCCCCCAGGCCATGCCGGAGGCTGACGAGGCAACTTTCCTTTTGTCAGGGTTTTTTCTGTGGAGCCCAACCTTGCCTTAGCCGCCTTCCCGAATTTACGTTGGAGGGTTTGAGCCCACAAGCTCTGAAGGGATCTGTCTTTTCCAGGTTGGATTCCTAAAACCCTGTCCCGCATAGGATTCTGATATGGAAGAAGAGGAGGAAGAGGAGGCCGAAATCGGGTTTCTGCAATGACGCGGGCAAGTTGCAGAGTTGCCTTGGACCCTTGGACCCTTGGACCCAGGGTGCGGAAGATGACCCCGTTGTCCAGCCTGGTGCGGCTCCAAGGTCACCGCATCTTCCCGGAGTCTCCCGGATTCTCGGAGCTTTTTTGAACCGCGATAAAAAATTGTTCATGAGCAAGGCAAGGCCAAGGCGGATGCCAAGGCATGGATGTGTGTGAGCTTTGGTTTCCGGATCGACGTTTGGATTTTTTTCATGCAGGATCTTCTTGCATGAAGCCTGCCCTACTCAGACAACATTGTTGAAGTAAAGTCATGCATGTGCAGGCGAAGGCTGCCCCTACCGCAGATGATGACGTGCCTCGCCTGTCCAGCTTTGCAGCTGCAGCGGTCTGCTAGTTCCTTTGACATTTTTGATGTTTCCGTGTTGTGCAGGATGATGATATGGAAGAAGAGGAAGAAGAGGAGGACATCACAGAAGTGCTAAGCTATGTTACTGCTACATTCATTGGCCTGTGCATCCTGTGCACATCGTAGGATGACGACGACGATGATGATGTAGACGAGCCACCTGTGCTGCCCTCAAAGGATGCATGATTTCCATTGCCTTTTTCCTCCAATTGGTACTTTGCGCTCTCCCTCTGCTCTTGGTGGTTTATACCGATCCTTCGAATCCACATGTCCATGTTCTTTTCGCGATTTTACATTTCACTTCCCTGTCGTTCATTTGACCGTCTTGCATTTCAAAGTATCCGTTCATATGTCTGCAGCCGCCGTGTTCGCAACAAGGCTAAGAAGCAAAAGGGTGATGGTGGCTTGACAGCATTTGTTGGCTGGCATAAGTATGCCAGCTGTCCAAGCTTTAGACAGGGCTTGGCCTGACCGTTTTGTCATACAACCCTTCCATATGCCATCTGAGGAAAGGGAAAGGGAAACGGCAAAGGAAAGGGTAAGGACAAAGGCAAGGACAAAGGCAAGGGCAAAGGCAAAGGAAAGGACAAGGGCAAGAAAGGCAAAGGAAAGGGTAAGGCACGCAAGGGCCATCTCAGTGTCGAGTAAGGTTGCAGCTACGCTTCGGGTACCCCAAACCCAAACGGATCCTCGCATTTTGCAGGGCAAAGACAAGGGGAAAGACAGGAGGAAATAAGAAAAAGCGACGCGCCGGGCTCCAGGGCTCCAGGCTGAGCATTTCTCTGTTCAGCGCATGATCCCAAAGCAGCGGTCTGAGTCTCGAGCAGCTGGGCTCGCAGGGCAGACTGGTGCGGTGGCGGTGATGGTGACACCCTCAGTGAGTCAGTTAAGACCGAATTGGAGCTAGTTTGACCTGCGAGGCTGAGCAAGTAGACTTGACATGAAGGGATGTAGAGATTTTAGATGTTCAGGATTTTGATTTGGCACCGTTGGCGGCTGCTACAAGAAAACACAGCCTCGAGGTGGAAAGTGCACTCAGCGCGGAGTCCTCGTGGAAGCAACCCCAGTAGATCATACCTGGAAAGCCGTTTATCCTGTCACAACGCCGAGCTTTCCCTAATAGAGGGCTTGGAGTGAAGTGTCGACGTGTTGAGTCCACGAGGGATCCTCCACAGTCCTCAAAAATCTCAGACATCATCTGGATTTCGTTTGCACCTTTACGTCCTGGCGCAGTGTTGCACGGATGCGCTCGCATCTTGAATGTGATGAGATGCTGACACCACCATAAAGATCTAAGCTGTAGAGAGGTTGTCCAAGTGTCATCATCTATGTTTGCCATGCTAATGCTGAATGTCAAGCTGACTTTGGCACTCTGCCAGATGTCAGAATGTCCGTGCAGCCGATACCTCCTCTGACCCAGCGAGAGGGAGAGGGCGCAGAACAGGAACGATCGTTCTAAGACTCCTATAATCCGCAGGAGCAATCAATTTGTCGATGTATGGCTTACGGCCTTAGGGCTGCCTCAGCCCGCGCAATCGTCTTGGATTCACGGTGAGGAGCAGCAAGAAAAGGAGCAGCTTTCACTGCACAACAGCCATTCTGTGTCTCGCAAGCTGATCACTGGCAGCACTTGGCAGCACTTGGTGGAGGTGCCATGGGCAAAAAGCCAGGAAAGAAGGAAGAGAAGCAGACCAGGCCCGGCAATGCAAACACGCTGCTCAGAAGTGTGAACTGCTTGACACAAGGGCTGTCCAAGCTTGTGCCAAGTTTTGGGTGGTTTGCGAAAGCTGCGTTCACTGCATACTCTTCTTGCAGTAGTTAATGGAGTTTACAGTGGCCTTCTGCCAGGTCACAGTGGGAGGGCAAGCACCCAGAACCGAAATCAAGAGTCGATGAGAGGAAGGTGGTTGCAACGGTAAAGCTGCCTGGCAAAGAGGAGTGACTCTTCTGGAAGCAGCGTCGACGTAAGACCGTCATCTAAGGCTTGCTGCGCCAGTCGGGGGTCCTGGCTCAGGGTGACAGAAACACTGTGAGTTCAGATTTGCAATGCTATGTTTTGTTCTGGATGGTAGCATGCCGCAAGTTGTAATATCAACTGCACAACCAAATAATTCAAGCAACAAGTCTGAGGTGTGTAACCTGCTGGAGTTCAAGCTGGACTGCAGCCCGTCCACGAAGATCTCTTTCATAGTTGATCGAATTGTCGACCGCCATGGTGCCTCGGCAATCATTTTCGAGGTCGACTCAAGCAAATTTGTGTTCGACACACACACACACACACTCCCAAGGCGGGTCCATTAGTGACCTCTCCGTGTGCGTCAACCGATTCCATCCCGAAGAGATCGTTGGCAGGGTGGTGTGCTCGGGTGCCGTTCCCTCCAATTTAGTACGATCTGAATGCTGAAGTCAGACTCAGGACAAGACGCTGGAACAATGCGGTGTCTTTGGAGGGGAGTGCTTGATATACTACGCTCCTACCTCAGTGGCTCACTGGCGTGCAGCACTGCGCTTTGGCATTCAGACCTCAAGTTGCCGGGGGGTTAAGCCTGGAGCTGGGACTGGGGAGCGCGAAGTTCCGGGGCGGCCTCAAGAACAACCACAGTAGGTCTGGTCCAATCTTCCAATGCCGTTAAAGCCATCCTAGATTGTTTCACCGAAGACATTCGGCGGGGGCTACACCAGTCTCAGCATCTGCATGGTTGTCTAGGACTTTGTCCCGCGGGCCGGTGCGCTGCTGGCGTGAGTCCTGTACATACAGCCGGAGCAGAAGGAAATGCCTGGTGTGCTGAAGGCATTGACAGGATGGATGCTGACGGCACAACTTGATCGTGAGACCCGAGGGTGCTCTTCAACGTTCACCAATGCTGACAGAGTTGCACCAGAATGTGAGGGTGATATAGATCTTCGAGGGTTGACCTCAGCATTGTCCGTCTCAGTGCCACGCAAATGAACCTGTGCGTCGCATTGACGCACGAGCGCCAGACCCGGTGCAGCATCATTTCTGCATGCTACGTGCGTCCTGAGGACGGCATGAACTGTGTTTCCCCCCAAGAAGTAGAGCCTGCAAGGTGCAAAAACGTTTCTTGCTGTCGAGTTGCAAAGGTCAAGCCAGGGCAAGATGCTCGAACATCTAAGCTGCCCTGAACTCACGAGCTGGCATTGTCCGCCTGTGCCATAAGTGCCAGCTGTCTTGCGGCCGATGTGACTCAGAAATTAATCGCACATGACATGTCTGGGCTGGGTTGGATATTTTGGACACTAGTGGCTTTCGGTTGGGGGCATGTCTAGCAACAAGCTATCGAAACATGGGCTTAACAACATCAGGCCAGTTTGTTGTCAGAGACTTGGCTTGCCCTGTGCCTTCGGCGTCATGGAGGTGGGCTGCCTGGATATCGGTGCTGTTCATTCGGCTTGTTACTTACAACATGTTGCAGCACCATGCCGTGTGCTGCAGTAAGGCTGAGCCTCTTCTGCAACAACTATGCTTCCTACTCGCCAGCGCGCCTTCTCAGCCAGTCTCTCTTTGCACCTGCGGACTCCGTGAGATCTAGCGCTTCAGAGAAGTTTCGACATGCGATTAGATTGTAAGCCTCCAGGCTGGAAGCGGGGCATGGTAAGAGAGCAAGCACTAGGCTGACACTCAAAGTCTTCACACCTCCCCTGAAGCAAGCTTGGGATTGGATGAGGGGAGAATGAGAACACTGGAAAGCTTTACAAAGCATCAAGCACCGCAAACAAGACTTTGAAGAGACAGGTTAGCGCGGTCCCTGGATGCCCAGGCCTGGACGCCGCTTCAGCGCCCCCAGCGCTGCTTGCCCCTCGGCGGCGCGCGCTGGAGGAAGTGGCGAAGGAGCTGCAGAGCTCGGGACCCGCTCAGGGTTTTGGGGATGTTTTGGGCCTCAGGATTGGAGGTTTTTGGGATGGACTTTGCAGAGATGGTGCATAACCCTGCAGAAGCACAGAACAGCACCGAGCCATTCAACGCAACAATTCCAATTTTCAATCTAGTGTCCCTACCACGAATTCACCAGACAAATGAGGTTGACAAAGAGCGTGTGCTTGTTCTAGATTTGCCGGTGCAGCTTTGCTGAGGTGCGGCCAAAGCTGCGGCAAATGCAGAGCTGAACGAGGCAAGCCGGGGCAATCAGGTTGATCATTTTGGATGAGTGGATCCTGATCTTTTTGCAAGTGCTGCACCGCTTGTAATGGCTGCTTTTCATGGGGCTATAGACTTGTTTAAAACACACATTTTTTTAAAACATTTTTTTTTTCAAATTTGATCCTTCCTCGTTTTCGCGCAATTGCAATAAACACTACACTACCTACACGGCTATGTTGTCTTGCATCCGCTGGCTGACATGACTCAATCTGAAAAGTTGTTGTGCTACGTTGGTCAGCGAGTTGGCAGAAGTTCAGCGAAGGCCTCGGAGCAGGTGCTTCGTGACCGGCAGGCGTGTATGCACTCCTGGCAGGGTTCAGTTTGCTGGAGGTTTGAGGGACAGAAGGCCTTGCGCAGCAACTTCAAAGCAGCCTTCAGTGCAACTTGAGATCCCTCATCAGGATGCTCGGGTCAAGTTGACTCCGCGCGTCATGATGAGGAACCCAATTGTTCAAGCCAATCTCTATGATCATATTTTCATGCCCACACTGCTGCGCTTGAGTCCTGCATTGGCCGCCCTGCAAGTCACAGCTACAGCCCACGCATCAGCTACCTGATGTTTTGATCGGATGGAGAAAACCCCAAAGAAGACACTAACAGATGACAAGTTCCTGCTGGCATCCAAGCGGCGAGAGCGTTGACTGGAAGTTCCGTGTGCTATGAAATCTATGAATTCCCGATGACCACCAGCCTTCAAGCTGGAATCATCACTGGGCTGGGCGGGCTGGGCAGTATTGGCCTTTGTGAGCAATGCTTGGCCAAGTTTAGTTTCAGTGAGAAGGTCGGAACAAGGAAGCTCCTTGTGGAAAGCTTCATGCTTACCTGCTAGGCGGAGATGAAGCAGTTGCTGGAGGGCATGATGAAAGAAGTGGTGGCCTGACAGCAATGATTTTAGGAAAGAGGGGGCAAAAGAGACCTCAGGTAAGGAGAAACCCCAACAATGTTGAAACGGCAGGACAACAGAGCACCCACAAACTCAAAACTCCCGCTTGCAATGATATTACAAGGTATTGCACTATTAGCATCTGTTAGTCGGGAGGGTGGCTTTCGTTTTTCTGTGCTTTGGGTGGCCTCAAGGTATACTCCATACTTTCCTCAACCATGAGTTATCTGTCGCTCAGCCTGTCATGAGATCAGGCCGGTGAACCTTGGCACTCTCCACCAGCCCAGCGCCGGCTGCTGGGCTTCGAGCGCAGCCTCCGCGAGGCGGCGGAGGAGTTGACCAGGCCGACCCACGTCGTCATCCATGCTTCTAAGGGGCAGACGGGTTGAAAAGCAGTATAGCACTGATGAGAGGCAGAAGCTGTGCTGCGTGGTCGTTGTCATAACGAGAACCATGTTGTTCTAGGCATTGGATCTTGGACTTAAGAGTCGCAGACTTGAGTGTTGACGATGGCATGGAGTGTTGGGCTCGTTGAACGTGATGGCACATTTGCAGAAGTATTACTTCGAAAGGTTCTATTGAATAACAACTGACCGCATAAGTTGGAAGTCTTAGCTCAGATAAGACCTTCCTTATGCTGCTGGTGCATTTGGGGCAATTGAGCGCTTATTTGTGTTGAGCACTGCCAGAGACAGTTGAGATGCCTACTCATAGCCCACCAGCGTCCCTCATGGAGCAGTCTATTTCAGGATAGCGTGGGAGTAGAGTTCGGACCTCCCGCTTGCTTCGTAGAACTTAACGTGAAAGTTTTGCTGTTTTTTTATTGCTGCGAAGTGAGCTTTACCTATTTTGTTCAGAAGACACGGCAAGATGGTTTGCTTTGCTCTCAGGTCGATTCGAACCCTTGCGGGGCCAGAGAAGCAATTCAAGTACGTCCGCCCCGTGAACATGAATGACCCCGAAGACGTGAGAGTCAGTGGCATGGCTGCTGATCCGCCATCGCGGGTGGAACCCGATCGTCTCGGTGATCATCACGGAATCTCAGCCATAATCTTGTGGCTCGGTTCAAATTGGGCTTGTTTTCGGCTCGTGTTTGTTTGGCTGCATTGCAAACTTCTCAGGGCTGCTTCGGGCGACAAGAGCGGCAAGAACCTCTCTGAGGTGTTGGGTCCAAAGGCGCACTGCGCAGCTGCCATCCAGAGGATCTTACACGGCATGTCCTGATGCTGACGTCTTCCCTCCTACCCACGTCGCACGCACGGACAAAATGCTGAGCCGATCTGTGTAGGGTTTTTGCCGATTCCTAATTCGCAATGCTGCGTCAGCTTTACTGTTTCAGCGTGTTTCACAGTGCTCTGCAGATGCATCATTTCGGAGGTGCCATGTTCGTCCTGATGTAATGCCATTTGACATTGTTAGACCTCTTCAGAGCAGGGTTGTTATTTGCTGCCTCCTTTCCTGTCAGAGAATACGGGTGGGTTTTCTTTCAAGCCACGAAACGCAGTGGACCCTCGACCAATTCTCAGTTTCCAATTTGAAAAGTGATGGCACTGGCTGTCCGACTCTTCCAGCTGATGGGAGCGAAGACTAGCGCAACTCGAGAGTGCCTGTTGGTTCATATCTTAAGTGGAGCCCCATGTCTGACGTTGCAGAGCCTTTACTGTACACTTGATGTGAGATCTGTTTGATGCGCGACCTATCCGGCTCTGCGTGGCAGACCGTGAGCAGGGCCGTGGACAAAATCCCACAGTCTTGGCTTGTGACTGGTGCGGCGGCACTTGGACACCGTTTTTCTTTCATGACATAAACACATCCTATAGCGGAACTGCTACACAGAGTCTGGACAGCTTTCCATGTCAAATTCTGGAGAGAGCCCTGGCCTGTTCATTCCATCTCTCCACGTAACTCTGCGCGGCAGCAGCAAGCGAATCTGGCGCGAGATGGGCAATAAAGCAGGAGCGTTGGACCTCAACGCGCGGCAAGCGCTTGGCATTGTATCGCCAGCTGCAGACAAGGCGGCTTGGGCCATAAAGCCAGACTTGTACCATGCAGAGCGGGGGACAGCATTGCTTAACGGCTTCGAATTGCCCTTGGCTCATCTTTCAAGAGCTTGAATGCTGAAGCTCCAACGCTTAGGCGATCCTGCGCTAAGCTGAGTGGCATTCGGCCTGTTGACCTGTTCAGTTTAAATGACTCGCGTGCCGTAAAATCTCGTCGGGCTCTTGCAAGATCGATCAGTATGTAGCCTCTTGTCATGAGCGCGCGAGCCCCTGTACATGGGCAACTGTCCCCTTCAAACACATGCCCAAAGTGCCTGCTCAGCTGTACAAGTCGGCTTGATTCTTTCTGCTCACGGCACTACTCTCTTTCTTCTCTGGTGCTTGTCGAGTGATGTCGAGTGCAGCACTGATTCGCAGGTGCTATGTTAGCAACAACGTGGCGCTTGATAGTAGCTGTGCAAGATGAAGACGTGCTGGCAAAGGCAGTTCGCTACCAGCAGGTTGTGGCTGGCGGGCTACATGCCTTTGCTATACTGCTGTGTGCACAAAGCATGACACATTGATGGACGTCGAAAATGCGCCTCCTGCTCACGAGACGCTATGTCAATGTCCTGTGACGGGAATCTGCAAGGATTAACTTCTGAGAAAACAAGCTATCACAAGGAAGATGAGTCCTGTCAGGACCCGAGAGAAGCGACAAGCTAGGATTGGAAATCAGAGCCATGGCGGATGCCCTGCCGCCGGCACACAAGCTGCACGCTCATCTTTCCGCCGACTCCAGGCCATGCGCTGAGGGTGTCATGCATATTTACTTGTCCAAGACACAGAGACCTCAAAACGGACCTCACAACGTGATTTTTGGTGAGGCGGGCGCTCATGCGACACAGATGCTACAAGTCAAGTAGGCCAAGTCAGCTTCGAAGAGCACATCTGTCCAACAATAAAGTTTGGTCCAAGAGGGAAGCAGCACAAGTAGCTGAAAACGGAAGTTGGCTCAGAATAACAGCCAGCTCGCAGCACCAAGGCTTTTGAAGTCGCGGTCAACTACGTTTATGAGACATGACAGTCTCATCAGCTCTACACCTTCAAAGTTTCTTTGGCAGCCAATGCGTATGCTGTTTCAAAGCGCAAAAATGCATTTTGGGGCTGGAAGCATCTAAGGGACAAAGCGACGTTTGCAATTTTTAGGGAGAGCGGGCAGCAACAGCTTGGCATCAGGCAGCGCCTGGAGGTTGCTCGAAAGCTGAAAGATGCAGGAGCACAGTTGCACAGTTACTTCAGCACAGGGTCGCATGAAGTTAGACGGGGTACAAATGGATTGGCAAAATGCAAATGCTTCAGGAATTGCAAGCTGCGTACTGCTGGTCATGAGGACCATTGGCTGACGAGCACACAAAGATCCTGGCTTCGCAAATTGGAGGCATTCTAGATGCTGCCCTCAAGCAGTCATGTGTAGCGCAAATACGAACTGCTCACAGATTTCTTCCGGCAATGTGTAGGCGACCGGAGATCTGCAGCCATGCTTGTGTGGATGGGCGAGGCCTCGAAGATCCTTAAAGTCTTTGCATATGTACGTGGAAAGCTAGTGCCAACAGGCAGGAGCACAGGCGCTCGCCTCACAACTTGGAGAGGACACCCCCAGGGTTGTGGCACATGAGGCTTCAGCATTGCATTGGGCTTGCCTGGAGGACTGCGACAACCTGGCGCACCGAATGGCCATGACCTCACTCTTGGCATCTGGTTCCACCGGCCTTCAGGCGCTGCACGGCGCACTCGGAGGCGCACAACATAATCAAATCTTGTGGCTTTGGCTGGCCATGCAAAGTCGTCTCTGAGATTGCAGATCCGCGGCTGCTTGATCGGATTCGCTGCTAAAAGCTGAAATGCAGGCTCCGACCCCCTGGGCCGGCAGAATGCCGCGGAAGCCCTGGCCACTGCCGGTGAAGAAGGTAGCAAAGCGCTCGTAGACAGGCACGAGCTCTGCCTTTGCAGCAGCCGTGGTGGGACCCCGTGCTCTCATCAAACAACATGAAAATCAGTTTTGAATCTAAACGACCTTTCTTGTTTTGAACACTTTTTCTGTCGGTTGAATTTGAACAGAGCGGTGCGACATGAGTAAAGCTGCAATCAGTCATGGTAATGTGGCAAGCATCGAGCAGGTTGAACGATCCATCTGCAGATGTCCGGCTCTCTGCTGCCTGGGGATTGTCTAGGCCGGGCTTTGTCAGATTTCACAGGCCGTGCATGAACCATCATGAACTCTTCAGCCAGTGCTGTGATCTTTGGCATGTTTTGCGAGATATGTTGGGTGATGCGCCAGATGCGTTGCTTCCACTCTTATGCGCTGCCTCACTGGCCTCTGAGATAGATCCTGTTTGTCCAAGAGGATCGAGGGTCATCCTTGCCAGGATCCCCAAGCTCTCTCGCACTGCAGCCCTCGCCCTGGCGCATGGGCTGGAGGATGCGGCCATACGCACATTTGCTTTGCAGGCACATGGCTGGGTGACATGTGAGCACGTTCTGACTGCCCAGTCACATGTGTCCAGGCCCTTAGCTTGAGGGGCGACCTGGGAGCCTTTGCACTAGCTACGCAGCTGGCCTCTGAGCAAAAGGACATTTGCCAAGGAAGACAAGCGACACTGGAGAGATTTGTTGGTCCTGTATGCAGGAGGCGCAGCAAGCGGCCGCCGCAGGTCTGCAGAAGCTTGGAGAGGTTGGGGCACGCGGAGCAGCCGAGATGCTTAGCCACCAGAGCCCAAGCGTCCGAACCTTAGTGCACACTGACAAAAGGAGTCGGACAAGGCTGTATTTGGCATTCAGGCACGGCGTCGAGCCGTCGAGCTGCTTGCCTCTATGGGGCCAGCCCGAAGCACAGACCCGCTTGCTCGCTTGAAAGTTTATGAATGCTTGGGCACTGAGCGCCCAAGCTTAGGATGCTGCCCGTGCGCTTGCGCCGTGGCTGCGCGATGCTCACGGTGACCATCGCCGCAGGGCTGCGGAGGACATGTGTTTGAAGCGATACGTCCAAGCAGCTGGGGGCTGACTTTTGAGCTCCCAGGCCATGGGACGCTTGGGCGAAGCTGCAGCACGAGAGGTGAAAGCCTTGTCACGGCTTTTGGAGGCAGAGTTGCGAGCTTCAAAGCAGCTTCAATTTGGCAGAATCTGCCACAGCGTTTTTCTTTGCTTCATTGATGTCGACTTGTGCAGGATCCAGATCCTTATGCCCGAGTTAGCTTGGAGCTTGGCGCACCTGTTCAAGCCTCAAGCAACAAGAACTTCAGAGTACACCCAGGTGCTGCACGTGCACTCCGCACAGAGGGCATCAGAGAGGTTGGTGGTTATCGCTAGAGACCTCAACTCTGCAACAAAAGTCGAAACTATCAGAACATGATCAACTGCTCTTACAAGTTGAAACTGAAGCTTTGAAAATGCTTTCTCTTCGGAATGTGAGAGGCCGCCACTGCTGCTGGCATCTCGGAAGAGCGAATAGCTGCGGTCCTGCATAGAGAGGCCATAAGGGCAGAAAAGGTGCGTGGACCATGTGATGAGTGACACGAAGTGAACAGGTGCCTCGCAGAGCAAGACATCGCTTTGCACCCTCGCAAATTGGATGAACGGTGCCCGATTTGTTGCAGTGGTGTCCTGCGTGGCCAAAGTGACCATGCATGCAAAGCCTTTTCATAGCGTTGGCCCTGCAAGCAGCTGCGTTTGCACTGCTGCGGGCTGATGTGCAGGCTGCGATATTTCACTTTCACCTTGACTGCCAGTGTATCCTGGTTCTGCATGTAAAAGCCTTTAAAAGGTTCCCAATCGTGCCAGTGCCAATGACCAGGTGTTCGTCCTGACCTAGCATGTGACCCACAAATTTGTTAGCAAGTCTTGGCATTCACTTTGTCGCAGGAGTGCAGTGCTCCAGGTTTCTGACCATCATGGAGTCTGGGGGGCCTGTGCGAAGACTGCATTAAGCACAAGTACCTGTACATCTGATGATCGCATGAGCCAGAGCATTCTTTTGAGATCAGACTGCCAAACTCGACCGCCTTTGTGAGATTCCGCCAGCGTGCCTAGGACCCAGTACAGTCACCAAAGATCACCAAGGTAGGTTAGTCGATTGATTCTATTTGCAAAAATGCTGGATGGTATGACCTGATGGCAGACGACTCATTTCAGGCAAGCTGCTCTGTCCTTGTCTTGAAGATCTTGAAGGGATAGCAGAAGAAACCCTCAAGGATGGATAAGGATTATTTGGATCGCAGTACCAAGGCCAGAATCAGATCTACATTCCGCCTGGATTCCTTGCGCAGGCGTCGCCATCCCAAGGCTCTGAGCCGCCCGAGTCCCTGACATTGGCACGGAGCCCATCAGGCTTGGGGCCTCAGACTTCAACAGAGCTGAACTGCTACTGTATCGTTTGAGAATCTCTGTAGCCAAACTGTCTGTGCTCTCAGCACCCATGCCAAAAAGTCATCCAGCGCCTCCTTTGGAGCGTGAGCTTTTTCTTGGGCTCAAGGTGTCAAAGCAAGCAACAGCCTGAGGTCCTTTTGTTTTCGGCCATGACTTCACACGAGAAGTCTCCGGCTCGCTTGAGGACTCTGGCTTGCATTCCATTTTGCTCCAAGGCAAACATCCACACTCAGTCACCTGCCCAGGGCTGCTTTTTGCTAGAATGGCCTTGTTATTGGGGGCTGCTTTTTGTCGTGCAGTCACAGCCATTTGCTGGACCAGTGAGTTGACTAGATATGTGTGATGATCAAGGTTTCCTGATTGAGTCGTGCAATGTAGTTTCCGACAGGTGTCTACATGTGTCATGGAGTCACGGTATCACTGTATCACTGTATCACTTCTTCACGAGCAAAAACGTGCTCTTCAGCATGAAACAACAAGCACAGAGAAGGTTCTAAGCCAAAAAGAGATCCCATCCTTCAGAAGTTTCCTGCAAGATTCCCGCAGGATGCCTACAACGTGCAGAAGAAGCCGCTGGGCGAGGGTTCCTTTGGCAGCGCCTTCCGCGCAACCTGCAAGTGGCCCTTGCTGTGCTTGACCAAGTTTATTGTTGCTGCCTTCCCATGAGGGTTGCATTGTACAAAAAGCTTTGTTGATAGCGTGATAAGGTGGCTGCGTTTGTGATGAGGGTAGGCTGTGGTGATGGTGGTGGTGGTGGTGGTGGTGGTGGTGGTGGTGGTGGTGGTGGTGGTGGGGGTGGTGGCGATTCTGATGGTGATGGTGGTGATGGTGGTGGTCATGGTCGTGTTACTGCTGGGGGCGGCTGGTGCTGCTCTTGCTGCGGCTGCTCGATTAGCCGAACTTGTGCTGCCGACACTGCACTGGGAAGGCTGCACAGGAAATGCATTGGTTGTTGTCTCTTCTTTTTGCTTCTCGAATAGGGGCCGGTGCGTGTTTACCTGTTCTGCATGGTTTTGGAACGAATGCAGGAGCACTGGAAGTTTGACTTGGAACTGTTGCCCAATCTGAGATTAGACGCGAGCGTTCTCATGCGCTACTCTGCATTAACTGCCTGCATGTCTTTGTCTTCTGAATCTGTTGGTTGTAGGCAGTTAACATTCGTTGAACGCAGCCATCTCGGCCAAGCTGCGAAAGTCAGTCTAGTCTTGTGCAATGTCATGCCAACCTACAGAGAGCTGTACTGGTGGATGTGTGCGGCCTGTGTGGTTCTCTCTGTTGTACTTTCAGCGTGGCCAGCCAACCGATGGAGACTCGGATGCAAGTTTAGTTGACGGCCTGGGGCACACGGGACAAGGCTCAATAATTCTGAAGCTCGCCCAGGAGCTGGCACCCCAAGGAAGACAGCGAAGAATCCATGGATCCCGAGTCCGCAGCCATCGGTAGTTTCACGGTGGCCTGCTTGCATTTTTGGTTGCCAATTGCCAAGTACTGACCTTAGCAAACATGAAGAAGCGGAGAAATGACATCCACTTAAGCCTTTGCTTTGCCTGGCAATCAGTCAAAAATGGGCACAAGACAAGAATGCAGCAACAACTGCACGCTTTCACTTGAGACTAGTTAGGTTTGTTTATCTCTCTGAGCCTGAGCCTGGGTTTGCCAAGTGAGCGCCCGGTTTGCTGTCCCAAGCCCAATGTCTCGTTTGAGGCACTTAGAGAGCAACTAGTGCTCATCAGCCCTGTGAAAGCCTAGGTCACAGCAAGCTGCCTGTATCTGCCCTTGAAGAAATCGCGTTTAGCAATGTACTTGGCTTGTAGTTACTTACAGCAGGCTACGCAGGAGAATTGAATTATTGAAGCCAACTGCAGTGCCTTGGCCCTTGCAACTGATATCCGATACAAGCAACATCCAATAACATTCAAAAACTACCGCCAGCATTAGCATGTCATTACCTGAAACGCTTAGACCATCAGTTTTATCCCAGGTGACGATCCCACTTGCCTTCTCCGAGGCCAAAGGGAGTTGTGTCGAAAACAGTACTTGCAGAATAAATGGCAAATTCTGTACGCAAGCTTCCCTCCCTAGCGGCCTGCACCTTGAACGTAGCGCCCAAGACGTGAGAGGCAGAGTGCCATGAGCTGCTTGACTTGGCTGGGCCGGGCGAACAGGCAGACAAGGGACTTGGACAGTTCAACAAACTGTGCAGGTTTGGTCGGAAGATTTCGGGCATTGCCTGTCTTGAAGTTGAAGGGAGGTGAAGCATGTGCATGAGGTAGGGGCAGAGCGAGTTGAACTTAGGGTGCGCAGCAAAGAGGCGCGGTGCAGGATGCGGCATGAGCTTGCATGCATGCGAGGCCTTGGTCTCGGGGAATCGAGGACCTGGCCTGTTGAAAGAGGAGGCTCCGAAGCTCAGTTTGGGGTCAACGAACTCAATGGATGGACCCAAACTGCCCAGAGGTGCGTGTTGCCAAGATATACACGATACGTCCGGATGATGCTCGGCCTCCTGATGCATTTACGGGTTCTCTGCCCTGGGAAGGTAAAGCCATGGATTGCCATGGCCATGGCACTGCTTTGCCCATGCTGAGGTTCCAGTGGGTTTTCAAGCGTCTCTGGCAAATCGCAACTGAAACGAATCGATTGCACTGGAAACTTGGGCGATTGCAGCTGCTGGAACCGCTGAACTTAGTCAGCCGCCTGGTTGCAGTCCGGCCTAAACAGCTTTCTATATAGCTCTTGTGCAAGGGTCGTGCAGGGAAATGCAAGCCCGTGAGCTGAGGCTACCCGGTGGCCCGGCTCAGAGATCGGGTGTATGGAGTGCTACTGGCTGTGCTATCTTTGACCTGCTGCGCTGAAGAGCACGGCCTGAGGCTGCAGAAGACCACGCTGAGGTTCACGGCCATTATGACTGGCATACAGCCCAGGGCTGAGAGCAGGCATGCCACTTCGTCTGCTTGTGTGGGATGCTCGAAATACTGACCAGTTGAGCATGCTTTTAGGACCGGATGCCAGACTCATCTGAATCGGAGGGCCGTTTGCTGTCCCTCTCCATTCAGCTCTCCAGCGAGAGCGCATCTCAGCCTTACACTTGCATTGCATCTTTTGCTTGTGACGGCCCTTGACCTACCAATAGCTGTAGTTATCTGTAGTATGTTGGAATTTTACGCGGACACCTTGTGCAACCAGGACTACCAGGGCGGCGCTCTAATTGTGGGCACGGAGGAAGCTTCGCGAGGCCTTGGTGATGCAGTGCCTGGCACCATTACAACGCAACAGGTTGCAGGTAGGTTGGGATGTCGGGCTTGGCCCGAACAATTGAGATACAACTGAGGTAACGTTCCCATCCTACATGGCGCACTGCATTCTTCCAGTCTCACAGGGAGTCAGGCATGGTTTTAGAGTTTAGATTTGAAAAGGGTCTATGCAAGTTGACTGAACGCACTTCAGCGCACGGCTTGTCAGGCATGCTTTGGTTGCCTGGGCACGTGGCCGGGTGGCCAGCGGCCTAGCAGATGCCGCCCAAGCTGCCCATCGGCGTGCAATTGCCGGCAACCCAGTGCTTCATGACACGCACTAAACCGTTATTTGATCTGGCATGTGCTCCTGTGCTCGCAGAGCTGCTTGCTCAAGCGAGGCAGGCGGCACCCAGTCACTGCAGAAGACCAGACCCCCTGCGAGCCGTGCGAATCTGGTCAGCGCCCAAGCCCAAGCAAGACAGCCACCCACTGTCACTGGGACAGCTGAGGCCCATGCTGCGCTGGGCCTGCAGCGAATATATGGCACGCACCTACTGCACACTGGCCGCCACATGGAGGCAGCAGAAGTGCTGCGCAGGGTCGCTCAGCAGGCTCGCCGATGTTCTTGCTGGCTTAGTGATTGGCGCATGTTTCAGGGTAGCCCTGTTATCGTAATCTGGTGGGGGGGGGGGCACATGCCGTGATTCATCGTTTTGCAAACAGCTTGCCAACTAGCGGTAACTTACGATGCATTTGTCAAGGATCCCTACAGTCCCGGCGCTCTGAACAACCTGGCCGTCGCAGAGTATTATCAGGGCAACATGGATGCTGCCATCGAGCTCAAGCTGAGATCTATGATCCCCGGTTGCTGTTCGTTGAAGGTCCCACTGCTGCATTACCGAGGATGCCCTCCTGTATGCTGCCAGCTTGCGCCCGGATGATGGTGCGTTTCTCAAACCAACGGCATGTTTGCAGTCGAAGGCACTCATTGCAGTCCTGTGGCAGGCGAGGTGCAAGCGAATTTGGGACGTTTCTTCTTCATGGAGGGGTACTTGCCTTTGGGCACTTACCACCTGGCCATGGCCGTGACTCTCTGGCACAGATCAGCGCCTTGGCTGTTCTACGAAGGAGACTTGATGATTAGCACGGCTTTTGCTGGTGCGGAGGCAATACTGCTGTCACTCTTCTGTATGACGGCGTATTGAAGCTTGGGAGCACTTGAGCCACATCCATGAGCTTGCCAGCCATTAGCTGTGAGAGCTTGTGTTGTCGTTTAAGTTTAATCCCGGATCATGTAAGGTAGCGTGTGTGCTGGGCTCAGTCGTCTGCCTGGCAAGAGCTGAGATCAACCAAGTGAGCGAACGAGGTAGTGCCTTCTGGTGCTGTTGCTTGACGGCTTTGGGCTGGCCGAAGCCTCGACATGAGGATGCAGAGGCTGAATGACCCCCGGGCGCCAGATGTGCAAAGCTGCCGGTTTTTCTGTCCCCGTGGCAGGCATTTGAGCTGGACGCTTCGGAGGACCAAGAGCCTGCAAACGGCATCACGACCTTGAGCGGAGATAACCAAAAAAAGTGTGCTTTTGCACTGAATTCCCTGTGCAGTGACTGCAAGAACTTATTTAAGCTCAGTTTCAAAAATATTTTGTGTTCGGAGTGTGCCAGGCAGACTGGCCAGGAGCGCGCAAGGAACTTAGCTAGTGCTTCTCTGTGAAAGCTCCTGGAGAAGCTGGCTGCCCAAGAGCACGCGCAGACTCGAGAGATGCCTTTGCTCAAGCTTGCCACGCCTGAAGGCCGTGAAGGCCATAGACATTGGGAACATGAAGAACCCGACCAGGTGCAAAGCGGGATCCTGGCAGTGAGAGAAGCTCTATTCCCTTAATGCATGCCACGCAGGCTGCTCCGAAGCGGAATTTGAAAACCATCTTCTCGCAGGTTTCAGCGCGAGATCCACATCGCAAAGAAGTTGGACCATCCCAACGTGGTCAGGTCTGTAACCCGTGTACAGCTTTTCAGCATTTGAACAAGCTTGGTCTACCTTATCTGTTCCGCATGTCTTAGGGGAGCTGGGTTGTTGTGGGAATCAGGTCTGAATCATCCAATCTGAAGCCTGGTTTTCAGGCTTTACGAGACCTTCAGAGATGCGCGAAAGGCACCTCCACGGACAGCTGCATTTGAGATTGTGTGCAAGGTGAGATGTGTCAACTCCCTTCCCTACAATGTCAAGTCCGTCGCAGATTTACTTGGTCATGGAACTCTGCACTGGTGGCGAACTCTTTGACCGTATTGTGGATGAGGCTCTGGGGCTTCATGTCGGATTCATCCCATTATACTATGGTAGCTTCCATTTTCTTTTCCATTATCCCTATAAACCCCCAATATACTATAGTAGTTTCCATTTGATTTTCCATTATCCCAATATTACCCCAATATACTAGCCAAACCCGATG